TAGTCTTTTATTTAATCCTGTTATAGGGCAGCCCCGATATTGAGCAGGTTGCCTGGCTGTGGGTCCTCACCCGCGCGCTTAAAAAGGACTTATTAATACTCCACTACAGGCACACACAAAAGGTTAATAAAAGGTTTATTTACAAGGGAAAGGGAATTAAGGAAATATACAACTCAGGGAGAAAATAGGGAAATAAAGTCTTTAATGCGTCCTACCCGATCCGCCGACCTGGAAACCCAAAGGCACTCTCAGAGCTGGCCGGACGCTGCGAGCTGGTGGAGAGCCAAAATGGGGGACCCCTCCAAAGCCCACGTGTCTGCCTTATATCAACCTGGCTGCTTAACCCCACCCTCAGGTCCCAGCCACCTTCCCTTTGGTGGTGATGGGATTTGGAGTTCCCAGTGTCTTTGGCTTTGGCCTGGGGTGGGGGTGGAGTCCACAAAGCCTGTATGGAATTAGCTTTAGGACATCCTTTTCCCCCTAACAATTCGACTCATCAAAATGCCTTTCTATCTGCTGAAGTGCATTGCTCCCAATTCATGAATCACTGAATAGAGCCAATAAGACCTCCAAAATTTTCTCAGTTGAATTTTGTTTTTTAAGTTTTTTCCCTTCACTCCATGTATAACTTTTTCCCATTCCTAGAACTGTTTTGAACCTGTCCAGTTCACAGTTATGTGGCTGGGAAAAAAACAAAAGACAAAATGTCCTGGTGAAAACAAAAAAAACCTTGGTTTTTATTCATTTGGGATGCCTTGAAGCTATATGCTCAAATTCACATTTCACTTTCCTCGTCCTGGTTTGGAGGTGGTCATGATACCGTATTTTCAGGACACTGCCATCCACTTGCCCTATGGCTCGGTTGGGGAACTAGTCAGGGAAAGGGATGGAACAGAAGACAGGCAGAGATATTTACAAGGAGATCATTTCTCTGTGCTGATGCTGAATTGGTGTCTAATGTAGGAGAGATGAAACTTCCAGAATGCCCTGGAATAATAATAATGTTGTTATTATTATTATTTTATTATTATTAGATCATTATTTTCACTACAAACTGCTTTTTACTCCTCTTCCACTAACCACTATGTAGTTATTGCTAATCCCACTCATACTAGCTATAGGACCATTCTTTAGTGGATTTATTCATGTATTTAGCACATTATTGCTCACAAACTCTTCAGAATGAAATAACAGGATGCTTAGCACATTCTGTTCGTGGAGTATGTATTTAGAATCAATATTTGACCTTTTCTAAGCTTGCTGTTTTCAGAGCCCCAAGTTCAAGACAGTTAATAAGAATGACTGTAAATACACAAAGCATGTATAGTAACTTTCTTTTTGTGTGATCTCAGCGGCCAGACATAATGCTTATGACAGATACACATGATTTGAATAAACTCACTGAAAACTCAGAGCCCCTTAATCTAGGAACAGTTCTATCAGCCTGTGACCATATCCACATCTGGGTCTTTGAGAAAATATCGTAAAAAATGAGGTCAAGCTGGGATTTCCAACCTAAGTTAGCAGCTCTAAATGAAGGCATATGAATCTCTGCCTTTCAGTTGTGTGAAAAACCTGCCAGGGGCTAAACTTTGTTGTTTGATTGGCCTCAACAAGCAAGACTGGGTAGCTGGGTAGGAAAGTGGGAAGGAAGAAAGGGAAGAAAAATGTGGCTTCCTGTGGTTTTATGAGGGTCACATCAGTCTTAGGAAGTAGGGACACTGGGAGAAACTAAACATATGCAAATGAAATGCAACTTTTCAGAGGGAATTTGTTAAGTTGCTTCATTAGCACTGAGGCCAAGGGCAGTCCAGAGCTAATGCAAACTAGATCTGAGGGTTTCCTTTTGTTTGCTTCCTGGTCTACAGGGCGGTGGGAGTGAAGGGGTGAAAAGGCAGACAGCAATGTCCTTGAAAGGGAGCAGAACCTGTGAGCTCTCCCAAGCCCTTTTGGCTTGAATACCAGCTTTTGTCTCTGAAGGGCCATTGCTCAGCTCCCCAAGAGGCTCAGTAATGAAGCACTGGATTAAGACCTCATTAAAAGTTCATTGACATTCATCATGACTAGGGCCATCACTGCAGCCCAGTGAGATGGAGGGAGGATGGGACCAGCCTAGAAGCATAAAACCTGGGCCTGAATGCCCTTTCTGCCACTTCACAGCTTTCTTTTCTTGTGCAGATATTTTATTTATTTTTTTAAAGATTTATTTATTTATACAAGAACGGGGTACAGGTCAGATGTGCGGGAAGGTGAGAAGATTCACCAGAGACTGAACGGGCGACTGAACAGGCAGACTGACTGAAATACACTGCTGAGGGGAGCAGCGAGAGAGACAGGAGAGGCCTGCCGTGCCATGTGGGATGCTCCACGGCTGGGGGGCATCGAACCGGCACTGTAGAGGCTGTGGACAGCTTCACAGCACTGCGCTCAACCGCCTGTGCCACCAGGAAGACCCTTGTGCAGATATTTTAATCCCTTCGAATATCACTTCTCATGTCCAAGTGACTCAAATTGAAAGCACAATTCAGGAATGTTGAAAGGTTTTGTCATGTGTGTCCTCAGCCTCACCATCCACCTTTTTCTTTTTTTTTTATTCTTTTTTTTTAAAGATTTATTTATTTATGCATACAAGAGCTGGGGTACAGGCCAGAGATGGGGGGCGGTGAGAGGATTCACAGAGACAGAGTGGGGAACAGAACAGGCAGACTGACTGAAATGCACTGCTGAGGGGAGCAGCAGGAGAGACAAGAGAGGTCTGCTGTGCCATGTGGGTTGCTCCCTGGCCAGCCAGGATCGAACCTGCGCTGCAGAGGCTGCAGATTGCTTCATAGTGCGGTGCTTAACCCCTTGTGCCACCAGGGAAGCCCCCATCTTTTTCTTATCTTCTTTTCTAATCTTCTTCTTTAGAACCAGTCAAGGACACTTAGTTCTTCCTTCACAGCACTGTGAAGATTCTGCAGAAGGACCTCCGGATAGAGGATGTAGCCAGGGTTTAGGGCCAACAAGAGCCTCTGGTACTAGCAGGCACCTGTGCAATCCACTTGGTCCCCAGAAAAGAGAAGGTGCAGGCAGTCTGAAACATCTCTAGACTATCAATCAAGTATTGCCCAAAGAATATTCATAAATCATAGTCAGGCAAACTCACCTGTCCAAATTCAAGCGTACGGTATCAGCTTTAAGAAATAAGCACAGCAGTAAATCCTAAAGTATGCTCCATAGACAAGTTATTCTCCCAGATGTCTGTCATTCTACCATGAAGATGGGTTAGGGTACAAGAGAATCTGGGCAGCTTTTCCCCAGACTCAGGAATCTGCCAGGTCACCTTCATACTAAAAGACAGGTCCAGAACAGACCTTACTAAAATATGTCACTTTGGCATGTGGATTACTTTAATGAGGTTCACTGACACCCTACAGGCCTCACAAGAAACTTTTACTACTCTCTTAACTATCTAGATGAATGAAAATTGGAGATATTATCCAGGATTAGGGTTCTTAACTAGAAATAACTGTGAGGTCAGTCGCTCCACAAAGGATCAAATAGACTTTTCTCATTAGGCCCAGAGTAGTTCCTCTTCACCTTGGTGTGGGAATTAGAGTCAATCAAGGTTCCCTGAACCTCAGGAGGTTTGTCGACATAACTTAAAAAGTTCAGACTATTTGCCCGAAGGCAGTGAAGGCCAAGAAACCTGGAAGTTTCTGTTCTTGCCTAGTTCTCTGCCCCTGCCTGATCAAAAAAGAAAGCAATAGATCCTAAGCTTCTGCCCCTTTTCTAATCTAAGAAGCAATCACTGTCCTCCCCTTTATGACCTAGAAATATGTAGTTGGGTGGGGAGGGGAGGTCCAGTTCTAGGATTTTTCAGTGGACATGTTCTGAGAATCTCATCTTTGCTCAGAGTAAGGACAAGGCCACCCCCTTTCTCTTCTGTCACGTGAATTCTCTTCTTTGTCCTTGATGCCCCATGTCCTGAAGTGCAGGATAAATGCTCCTGGTCACCTCTATTATTCTTTAGAATTTACAACTATGTAAAGTTACGAAAATTCATTGTCTTTCCTTTGCTAACCCATCTGAGGTTGTCCAGCCCGAGAAGAACCCAAAGGGGTACAGAATGATTTCTTTTTCACGCCAAAGAGACTTTCTATCAAAGAAACTTATTTATATGGCAGGTCAAATATTTAATTGCATAACTCCCTTTCCTCCTCCTGTGAGTTCCTGTCCTCTCTCTTTGAAGTCCCAGGAACTGGCTTATCATTTAGTTCACGATGCACATAGAGATAGAGATATCTGACATTTTCCCACTTGCTTGAGAATCTACATGGGTATAGCTTCTTCATATGTCTGCATTTATTTTTTTAAAGATTGATTTATTTATCCACACAAGAACTGGGGTACAGGCCAGAGGTGCAGGGGGTGAGAGGATTCACCAGAGACAGAGTGAGGAGCAGAACAGGCAGAGCTACTGAAATACACTGCTGAGGGGAGCAATGGGTAAGATAGGAGAGGTCTGCTGTGCCATGTGGGCCAGCCCCCTGGCTGGGTAAGGATCAAACTTGTGCTGCAGAAGCTGCGGACAGCCTCACAGTGCAGTGCTCAACCCCTTGCACCACCAGGGAGGCCCCCCATAAGTCTGCATTTAAACTTGTTTCTCCTGCCAATCCATCTAATGTTAATTTGATTGCTTGATCAGCCCAAGAAGAACCCAGAGAGTAGAGGGAATTTAACTATTTGCCCTGACAATATCAGAAAACTCCACATCAACCTCAGCTAGTACAATCTAATACTAATATGCTTTGTTTTGTTTTGTTTTGTTGTTAGTCCTGTTTAAAAAAAATTCAACTAAGTAATTTTTAAAGATTTCATTAGCTTTATTTAATGATTCACTGATCAGTCAGCATCCAATCCAGCAGCTAGAAAGATGCTCCAAGAAGTTTCACAGCATGAAATATTCTTACAGGCAAAAGGGAGCAGGAAATAGAGCAAGGGAAGTAGAGGAGGAGAAAAAGAGGGTGGGGGTAGTGTTTATTCAAGATTTCTTTCCTTGTGCAGGGGCCAGGCTAATCTTCTCTGTATTGTTCCAATTTTAGTACATGTGCTGCCCAAGCAAACACCCGCGATTCCTTTCCTTTGGGGACTGGCTAGGGCCTATTGGGTAGACACTTAGTGAGTGCTCATCAGGTGACTCCTGATTGGCTAATTTAAGATTCCATTTCTGGGGAGCCAAAACTGTAATTAAGTTAAATTTCAGCTTGATGATGTAAAACTTAACATAAAGGAACTTCACCTTGAGCTTCTTGTCTTGTTTTTAAAAGACCTTCTCTTTCAGTTTTGCAGTTTCCTAGATTACAGTTCAGGAAGCCACATAATGGCCTCTCTGGGACATTACTTCAGTTCAACTGAAAGTATGGAAAGAATTTCCCTTCCCTAATATCACCTCAAGAAGCCTCTCATCCTTCCTCTCTTTTCGATGGATGACATCTTTCCTACCTCTGGAAAAGGAAAAAAAATTTTCTTTCATCTCCTAATCTTCTCATGATCCAATAGATGGTATAAACTTCACTCACAGTCCTCTATGTAGAGCTGAGTTTCCAGAAAATCAATGTTTTTTCCTCTCTTGCAGAAGAGCCATGGCCTTCAATTCTGCATTTTGACTATAGATTTAGAAAGGTCTCCTTCAGCACTCAAAAGCCAGCGAATGGGGTTTTTTTTGTTTGTTTGTTTTTTGTTGTTGTTTTTTTTTTTTTTTTAGTTCTCTCTCAATCTCCCTGCCAGAAAGTTGCATTTGTAGCACCCACAGGCTGTGTGGTGGTGATATAGCAGTGCCTGCAGAAAGAAGGATTAGAGGTAAATGGTGCTGGCATTCCTAAAGGTCGGTGCTTAACACTGTTCATTCTTCTGCTCTCCAACACATAATGAGTAGAAGACATAGGAATCAAATGAAGATAAATATTAGTTTGATTACAGATAAAAACTGGATTTATAACTCAGCCTAGATCCACAGCTAAATAGGCTTGCAAATTTTTTGCTTGTCAATTGAATAATTTACCCTTAGGTCACTGCCCAGCTTGAAACTCAGAGGCTTTCCCTATATTATCACCCCATGAAGAAGCAGAAGAAACTTGCATTTTGTGGACAGGCTGTTTCAATAGCAATCATCTGACTTGGTGTCTTCTTCAACACTCAGTGAAGTCATTCTGTAACAGGGTGGTTGGGCTGCCCCTCTCCCTGTCCTATAACAATTCCTCTTTTCTTGAGAAGTAGAAAGTGAGGAAGGGAGCATTATGGGAATCTTCATTGAAACATAATCAAAAACAAGAGTCCTAAAGAAATGGAATTAGAAAAACACTCAATATCAAGCATTAAGTGCTAATGTAACAGTGTAATCTAAAAAGGAGCTCCCTGTTCCCTGCCTAAGGAAAAGCTGAACTGATTGGCAAGGGGAAGCTGAAAAGGGCTTGGGGCAGAAGACTTGAGAGAAGACATGGGGGAAGCATGTGGAGCAGAAAGACATGTGAAGAAGCTGCACTTGCTTCTTGGCCTTGAACTTGCACTAGGGACTTGGGGGACATGGAAGGAGATACTTGGAAGAGATGTGGGTGAGAGACACATGGGGAGGCTGACAATAGCAGCCTTTAGCTTGATTTTTACTTTGATTTTGCTGCTTTCCTTCTAGGCTTGTCTGGCCCCTCCTCCCACCTTCCTACGGCTCCCTGCCAGAAGGTGCCTTAGACTTGTGACAAGCTTTTAGGCCTCAATGGCCCCAATTTGAGCCAATCCTGTTTTGTTGGGCCATACCAGAGGGGATGGGTAACTTTGGGTGTTTCATGGGGAAACTTATCCTTTCTCTCTCTGTGTGCACAATATTCTATTAAAGTTACTTTCTTTTTTTTTTTTTTTAAGATTTATTTATTTATGCATACAAGAGCTGGGGTACAGGCCAGAGATATGGGGGGTGAGAGGATTCACCAGGGACAGAGTGGGGAACAGAACAGGCAGCTCTATTGAAATACACTGTTGAGGGGAGCAGCAGGCAAGACGGGAGAGGTCTGCTGTGCCATGTGGGTAGCTCCCTGGCCAGATATCAAACTCATGCTGCAGAGGCTGCGGATTGCTTCATAGTGCAGTGCTTAACCCCTTGCGCCACCAGGGAGGCCCTAAAGTTATTTTCTATTAAATATCTTACTCACTAAGACTATGTTTTGTCTTTATGCAGCAGATGGCAAAACCCATTTAGAATGTGCGAGTTTGGGGTGTTGAGTTACCCCTCTGTCTAACACTAACAGCATCATAATAAAATTCTGCATTCAATTTGCTAGTATTTCATTTCAATATATTTACATATCTATTCACTAATTAAATTGTTTTTCACTTGTGTTCCTTATGCAAAATTTCAGTTTGTGCTCAAAGTTTTGTGTTATCCTGGTGTGGACATGAGTTCTGTTTGTCCCTCCAGGGCCACCGTCTACCTTCCTATGCCCTGTCTCTGCCCTAGGTGACTGACTTATATATGCACAGAGAGAAAAATTTCACTCTACCCCTGGGTTCTTCTAGCTAGCTGAGCACTGAGCTGAGTTAAGAAACAGGATAGGACCTAGGGCTTCCTGCTGGGAAGTGACTAACACATGGGGTTGGGTTAGGTTAGTAGAATGAAATGGGAAGACTTCCATTCTTATCTATGTTTTGGAACACATTAAATATTGTAAGAATTATCTGCTCTTTGAAAGTCAGAGAACTAATCTATAATGCCCCATTGGCCTAGCATTTTAGGGAAGGAATAGTTCTTTGATAAATGCTTAAAATATTTCTCAGAGCTATTACTTTATTTAGGTTTCTTCTTCCCGCGTCAAGTTTGGGAAATAACATTGCCTAAAAAATCAACAATCTCCTTAAAACTTTTCAATAAGCATAGATTATTAACACAGAATTGTTTACACAGAATTGTTTTAATCCACTCAGAATCCAGGGCATCTTCCCTATCTCACTTTTAATGAGTATTTGTTTCCCCTTATTGTTTTGGTTACATTTACTCCAGTTGCTTGTGTGTATGTATTCATTTCCTTATCAATATAGTTTTAAAAGTTCTCATTACAACCTTCTAATTTGACATAATACCTACTAGGGAGCTGGGCTCCCTAGTTTGAAAAGCGCCACTGCCAGGAAACATGTCTATGTTCACCAGCTAGTATAAGAGAATATTCGAAGAAGCACTGATAATAATTGAAAATAAATAAATAAATGGAAATAAAATTGGATATTGACAGTTATGAATGTCTATGAATGGCAAAAACTTTGGCACAATCACACAATAGAATATTATTCAGGATACCAATGAACGAGATGCTTCTATTCAAGTCCACCTCCAGAAATCTCAAAAACATGTAGATAACATTGCAGAAGATTTCTTGTGATATGATTCTAGTTCATAATTATGAAGGGATATGTACAGGGTGCACAGGGATATTTTATGGTATTTACTGAAATACAATTAGTGAAACATTAAGATAATCAAGAGACAATTATATGCAATTCAGGAAAATGGTAATTTGGGGAGAGAAATCAGAGCTTAAGAAGTTTGGCACTATTCTATTTCTTCATCAAGTATTCTGTATTATTGTCCATTCATATAGTTCATTTTGACAGTATAATAAACTTTCATAACTCTTCCATGGATATTTGATGAATAGTCTCTGCTTGAAGGAGAGGAAGTTTTACAGCTCCTTTACATTTATCTCTTTTTTTTTTTTTTTTTGAGGGTTGAATCTTCCACCTTTATTCTTGGACATGGACAGTGCTGGTCATAAGCAATATACTACCTATGAATCCAAACTAATGTTAGGTCCTATGAAAGGAGCTGCAAGGCATGTTCCTGTGCTAAGGCATTCATTAAGTAATCAGTATTTCTGCACTCAGTCCTACCATTTCTTTTTTATAATTTTATATATTTTACATCATTTTTCATTTTTGCACAATGTATGTATTTTCTATCTTATCTGTCTGCAATATTTTAAAGTCTTGCCCTATGATTCTCTCATCTCATTATGTGAATTTCTCATTGTGCTTTTAAGTATTCTTGCAATATGTGATTCATTGAGATGTTGACACATAAAATTCTATATTGTCTTAACTTCCTTCATTGCATCATGACCTTTTTAATCAAAAAAACACTCCTTGCTCTTTTATTGCTTTTTTTCCTCCTTTATTATTTATTTATTTATTTATTTATTTTACTGAAATGCCATTGTTTCACATCCATGTTAATATCTTGACAGTACAGGTTTTCCCTCTTCAGGTATTGTTACTATACCACACCCACCACTGAGGCACCCACAGTCCTCCACCATAGTCCATTGTGCTCTTCCCCATTTCTCAGTGCCCTCCTCACCTCCCCACCCCCAATCTATGGTCAACTTTCAAGGGCTAGTATTTAAGTTAGTCTTTATCTGACCCTTTGTTTTGTTTCTCTGTATTCAACATATAAGTAACACCATCGGGCATTTATCTTTCTCCTTCTGTATTTCACTTAGCATAATCTTCTTAACCTGAATTCAGTTTACCAGCTATTAATATTATTCCTCTGCTTTATCCTATTTGCATTGTCTCATCTCTTATTTTGATATTTTTGTGTCAATTTTCCTTTGTAGTTTTCTTTACTCGCAATTTTTTTTTTACATTACACAAATATTTATTATGCTACTGGTGGTAACTTCTGAATAAAATTTTTTTCTACATTAATATGTAGAAAATATTTTAACATTATCCAAATTTTAAAAGACTTTTTTCCCATATACTGATATTAAAATGACTTACCCTTGAGTAAGATGTGAAATGCAATTTGCTTTTATTTGTACTCTTCCCTCTAGATTCATTTTTATCAGCTTGTGTTGGTTATAAACTGATGTTTTAGGTAATATTTAGTTATGTAGTGTCTCAGTTCAAAAAGTATTTTTGATACTTTTACAATTTTATGACAATGTCAATGAAAATTGTTTCTATTTTACATTCTATTTTACTGGTCTCATTTGATTTATAATATTTTTCCTAGTCTTAAATTTTTTGTTTTTATTCAATCTCCTATTTAATTGTAAAATTAATTGCTTGACAACTTTTTTTA